GCACCGGGAGCCCGACGTGGGATTCGATCCCGGGTCTCCAGGATCGCGCCCTGGGCCAAAGGCAGGCGCCAAACCGCTGCGCCACCCAGGGATCCCTCATTCTTTTTTTTTTTTTAATATTTTATTTATTCCTGAGAGAGAGAGAGAGAGAGAGAGAGAGAGAGGGGCAGAGACACAGGCAGAGGGAGAAGCAGGCTCCATGCAGTGAGCCCAATGCGGAACTCGATCCCAGGTCCCCAGCATCAGGCCCTGGGCTGAAGGTGGCGTTAAACCGCTGAGCCACCAGGACTGCCCTAGCAACCTCATTCTTAAAAGGGACCATTAGGTGAGTGAGCACAAGAGGGTTATCATCCCACACAATGACATTTAAAAGTCACAGCCAAGAAAGTGCTGTGTCTCTAAGCCCCATACAGCCTATGGATGAGGAGCAGAGAAGAAAGGACACCAAAAAAAAAAAAAAAACAAACTGACCAAAAAGGACCTCTTTTATACTCATTTTGCAAACACATCAAGAATTAGCCTAGGATGTTAGAATAGATCAATGGGGAAAAGGCAATGCACAAACATTTGCTGAAACTTTGGTTATTCCTTACTGTGGAAGATAAGTCTTCAGATGTATGACTTCCAGAGGGGGCTGGGTTAGCCAATGATAATTACAATTCCTAACAGCTCAACTTCTTCATCAACTTCCTAATTGACAGGTAGCCCGGGTGGCTCAGGGATTTAGCACTGCCTTCAGCCCAGGGCTTGATCCTGGAGACCCAGGATCCAGTCCTGTGTTTGGCTCCCTGCAAGGAGCCTGCTTTCCCCCTGCCTGTGTCTCTCATGAATAAATAAATAAAATATTTTTTTAAATTCCTAATTGAAAACTGCATCATATATTATTGCAAAAATTAAATAACACATGAAAGCACTTAGAACAGTGTCTGATACACAGTAAATTACCATTTGCACACCACATCACAGTTTAACATACATGATCCCATTTGATCATAAGAACTATGAGAGGCAGGTTTTATTATTCTCATAGGACATTGGCTCAAAGAGATAAATGTGTCTAGAGTTACACAGCTAAAAAGTGCCAGGTATCTGGTTGCTCTTTGGACTAACATTCCATTAATCATGGCTAGACCAGAGATGGTATAGCAAGAGTTTCAGCGTGCCTTTCTAGTTCAACTGTGCTATGTGCCTATAGTCAGGAATTCACAGGTCTCCAAAGCCTCCTTGAATGATCTGAAGCCAGAAAAGAGGTTTGATGTGAAGGTCAGAAAAAACTCTTCGAGGGCAGTTCTCACATCTGACACTACGTAGGAGCCCAGGTATGACTCTGGAGTTAGCAAAAAAAAAAAAAAAAAAAAGGCATTTCTGACATTCACATTTTCTATAAAAAACTCTCCCAGCTGTTGCTCCAAGGATCCTCAGTTACCTTTAATTAATAAAAAATAATAGCTACCAATTAACAAGCACTGTATTAAACCTTTTACAAACATCTCATAATCCTCACAATTATCCTTGGAGGGGCAAGGAGTATTGAACAGAGGTATCCTTACCCCTCTTTAACAGGCAAGGAAACCAAACACCATCTGCCTCAATTAACCCTCATTTTCTTTCCCCTTGCTCCTGGGTACCCACAGGGCCTAGGCCTAAAATACTGGCCTCTTTTCTCTTCAGAGACAGTAAAAAACCTAGGGAGGAATTTTGTGCTTTTGCAAACCAAGACCACAAAGGCTGCCAGGGTCTTTATTGTGTCTTTTGTTTTGATATTATCAGATTCAGAACAAACCTTCAGGGCACCTCTCTCTTAGCCTGGGTACTCTATCCTGCTGTCCATTCCAGGAAAAGGCTCCCTGCTACAGCTGGTGTTGAGGAACACAGTCATAGCCACCATCAACCCTAGTGCCTCCCCTAAGAGGGAAAGACGACGACAAGCCTAGGAGCTGGCATATATAAACAAACTGGTCCTTTTCCCAGGTCACAGGGGCAGTCAGATCCCAGGACAGAGGCCTCTGCTGCTGCTGGACTCACCTCAGCCTGTGTCCAGCAGAGACAGCAGGAATAGGACACATGTGTGTGTGGCGGGGGGAGTCCAAACCAACCCTGCTCAGTCCTCTGACCCTGTCTGCTAACCCCACAATCCCAGGGCCTTTCTGATAATTGCCTCACTTTCCTCACAACCCCTTGACCTCCTACTTGCCTCACAACACTCCCAGGGACCCTACTACCCACCTACTCTTTATAGCCTCACCTTGAGTAGTTTCCCCAGGGAGTGGCCAGGCCATTATCAATGAATATTCAGCCATGACCAGCAGGCCACGAGGTGAGCAGACATTAGAAGGCAGCCATGGGCACACTTCCCATAATAGAAAAAACTTGCTCCTAATCAGGGCTATCTCCAAATCCTCAACTTGCAGAGTGCCAGCAGATCAGCAACAGGGCCCTGCTGGAGAAGGTGGCAGTCTGAAAGCCTGCCACTGAGTATACATAACCACACACCTAGGTGGGAGGACAGGTGGCATGGACTCCCCAGTAACCCGGGTACCAGGGTCAGCCGCCTCCCTAAAGCCAAGCCCTGTCACTCATTTCCTCCCTGGAAGGCTGGAGTGAGATGGAAACTATGTGTCCCTGGGCAGCCATCAGAACAGTCCAGCCCTGGGGGCACCTGGGTGGCTCAGTGGTTGACCGTCTGCCTTTGGCTCAGGTCGTGATCCTGGAGTCCTGGGATTGAGTCTCACATCAGGCTCCCTGCAGGGAGCCTGCTTCTCCCTCTGCCTGTGTCTCTGCCTCTCTCTGTGTGTCTCATGACAAATAAATAAAATCTTAAAAAAAAAAAAAAAAGAAGAAGAAGAGGGAAGAAGGAAGAAAGAAGAAAGAAGAAAGAAGAAAGAAGAGTCCAGCCCTGGAGATCAGAACCACGAGGAAGGTGAATCCAGCAAGCCAAGTGACTGAAGTAGGGAACAGAAAATTGAGGGGAGGAATGTGGGGTACTCCAGCAGCCTGTCTCAGAGAACCTCTGACACAATGCACAGCCTAAATCAGAGTTAAGATCTCCTTCCCTGCACTCCATACCCCCAATAAACCCACTCCCTTTACACACTTTTCAATCCCCTAAGCCCATCCCCCTCCCTACACCTAGCCTCAGAAAGCCCAGCCCCTCTTACACTCCTAAGAGCATCAACTGCCAAGATAGGCTTATCTTCTCATCACACTAACTACAGATCCGTCAACCCCTCAGTTTATAAGACTAAGTACTCTAGCCTCAGCTGACAAGAAAAAAAAAACGGTTTCCCAGGTCTTTAAAGCACAATGCTGCCAGGAGGGCTGAGTTTGGCAACTCTCCATAGGCCCCAGATGGGGCAAAATCTCTTCAGGCTTGCTTCCAACCAGCCCCCTCCAACCTACCTCCCCCAAAGCCAAGCCACATCCACAGCCCTTGATTTAGGCCTGGGCTCTTCCATTCCCACTCAATAGGGGCCCACCCGAAATACCTTGCGAGACTAACCAGTCTTAGAATCCACCTTTTCCTAGCCAAGGAGGAGAGAAACTGAAACCCTCTGAGAGAGGAGCCGCACCCCACCCTCAGCTCTTCCCCACCTTGACCTCCTCCTTCCAGTAGGTGCTGAGGGCACTGAGAGAGACAGGTCAGGTGACCACTGGGTGGACCCTCTTGCCTCCATCCACAGTCCTACAGATCAGGGGCCTGAAAAGACACCCAGAGGCACTTGTTGAGCAAGTGCAGATTTTCAGGTACTAGGGCTGGGGTAAGGCAGGCCTTTCCAGAAAACTTCAGGTGGTCAGCAGAGGACCCATGTCTCACACACCTGGCCTGGAAGCTTCATCAGGAAGCTGCCCTGGGACGAGGGGTGGGCGTGTGGTTGGTTTCAGAAAGCAAAGGAGGAAAGGTAGAGGCTGGTTCCAAAGTAGGAAGGGAAAAAAAAAAAAAAAAAACAGCTGTTCCCTCTCTGCTCTAGGAGGGGTGATGGTGCTGTCCCACTGGCAGGGAAGGGGATCCCTTCCTCCCAAGTGTAGATCACTGGGGAAATACCAGCATCCTTCTCGGCAAACTGGCTGCAATTCCTTGGGCTTAAACCTCAGTGCCAATGCCAAAAAAGGGAAAGAAAAACCTGCAACCCACCAAATCTCATTTCCAGCATAGACACATTAATAATTAACTTGCCTACCCGGGAGCTTGCCGTAGTTGCCATAAAAGATGAGTAATGGCACCGGAGCCCCGGCCCCAAGCCCGCAAGCTTCTGGGCTCGGGGCTGGGACGGGCGCCTGGAACAAAGCCTCCGCATTCCTCTGGGAAGGTGTGTCTGAAACCAGACCTGTCAAACGCTGAGAAGCTGACCCCTTGCCTCCCCCTTAGCTGGCTCCCAGCAACGGGAGTTGGGGGGGGGGGTTAGAAAGGAGGAGGAAAAATCGCCTCTGTCCACTTCTCCCCCACCCCGCACCCCCGGCCGATGGGTGCCCCCAACCACCGCCGATTTCTGGAAGCCAGGAAGCCGAGCTCTCTGCTGAGAGCTAATCATCCTGTTACCATGACCGCAGGCTGTACTTGGAGACCCAATTCTCAAAACAAGGCAGCTCCCTCGATGCCCTTCCCGATGAGTAACCCCCAGCCGGGCGCCCGCCCCAGAAATTCTCTCCCCGAAACTCCCGCGGCGAGCTGCAGCTCCCACGCGGAGGGCCGGCCGGGACGAACCCGCTCCCATCACGCCAGCAGCGCCCAGGCACGAAAGCACCCCCCATGCACCCCCCTACGCACCCCCCATGCAGCCCCCATGCACTCCCATGCAGCCCCCATGCACCCCCCATGCAGCCCCCATGCACTCCCATGCAGCCCCCATGCATCCCCCACGCACTCCCATGCAGCCCCCACGCACCCCCATGCAGCCCCCATGCACTCCCATGCAGCCCCCACGCACCCCCCCGCGCAGCCCCCCGCGCCCTGCCGGCCCCACAGCCCGCAGCCCCCCGAAAGTTGTGGCGCGCGGACACACCTGCAGGCCCCCCGCGTTGGTCCCCGCCAGCCCCCCAGGGCGGCGGGGGGTGCGTCCCCGGGCGGGCAGCGCCCCCGCTCCATGCGCCCGCTCCTCCAGCCGGGGCCGGCCACCGGTCAGCAGCGCATCGCGCGCCCTCCTCGTCCTCGCCTGGGCCTTCCCCGAGCGCCCACACCCACTTGACATCAGCGCGGATCCAGGCACGTGGCGCAGCGCCAGACGGCGGACCCCGGCGGTCCCGAGCGCGCCCCGAGTGCCGCCGCGCCGCCAGGACGGCGCGTCCGAGCGCAGCACATCCCCTCCTTGCAGAGGATGCTGCAAGCGCGAGCGGGGAGGGAGACGGAGACGGAGGCGGGGGAGGGAAAGCGGCGCAGGGGCAGGACCTGCCGCCCAACAGCGGCGCTGCTCTGGCGCCCAGCCAGCCCCCAGCAGACCTCACAGCCGCTGCTGCAAGTGCCCATCGACTGTGAAGACCAGGCGGCAGGTGACCCGGGTTGCTGTTTCCTCCCCGCCAAGGAGAGCCCTGACCTTGAAGTATCTTCCCCAGAATGACTCAAGGAGGCTTCTCTCCAACCACCCCTACCTAAATTGCTGGGACTGATTCTGACAAGCCAGGAATGAATGCTCGGTTGGATTAGGTTACTGACCCCATCATCCGGGAGGCTTCTATAGGGAACCCAGCAAAGCAATCCAGACCCTCTGGCTTGTCTCTATACTAGCAGCCTAACAAGGAGTCTCCTTTTTCTCTTCAAGTCTCAATGCCCTTGGCAATAAGGGACAGTTCTGATTCTGCAGGCAATCAGAAGCAGCACCGCCCAGCAACCACACACACTTCCACTTCACACATTAGCATCCATCCAAATAATCAAACATTCAAGCATTTATTAATGCTTGGGCCAGGAGCAACAGAAGATAAACAACATTCAACAGTCACAGAACATATAGCCCAGTCAGGGAGAGAGATATTAAGTACAGCGTAAATTATAATTGTGACAAGGGTATTAAAGGTAAGAGGTGCTATGGGAATGCACACAGGGACCCTAAACTATCTTGGCAGTCAAGAAAGACTTCCCTGAGGAAGTGGCATTTGAGACACTGAGGCATGAAGAGAAGTTAGAAGTTATGGAAGGGGAAGAAGGAAAGTTCAGGCAAAAACCTTGGTTATCAAAGTGCAAGTTCACTCTAGTCACAGGTGGAGATGTTCAAGCAGAAGTGAACTGCCATGCTGGAAACACCTGGATCTTCACCCAGGAGGGGTATGGGGCAGCTCATAGGCTCTGGAAGAAAGCCTGGCCACCTATCCAAAGAGGACCCTATAACTGCTTTTCGTCTCCTAGACCATGATGACCAAACTCAACAAAAGAACTCTGAATAGGCAGTCGAGAGCCTTTACGTCTAGCTTCAACTCTATCATCAATTTGCTGTGCAGCTCTACAGAAATCCTTTTTACTCTCTGGTTTCAGTTTCTGTAAGGTGAAGTGCTAGATTAAGACAGTGTTTCTCCATTTTTTTTTTTAAGATTTTATTTACGAATTCACAAGAGACTCAGAGAAAAAGGCAGAGACGTAGGCAGAGGGAGAAGCAGGCTCCCTGCGGGGAGCCCGATGAGGACTTGATCCAGACCCCAGGATCATAGAAGGCAGACGCTCAACCACTGAGCCACCAGGCGTCCCTCCATTTATCTTTCAAAAACCATATTCCCTTTTGGATAAATTTACAAATATCATTACTGTTCTGTAGCATCTATAATGACAAGACATCAAATCATTTTCCAAATCAAAAATTAAGATATTAAATATGCTTTTAAAACTACATATGCCCTTCCACAATAGTCAAAATATGGAAAGAGTACAGATGTCCATTGACAGATGAATGGATAAAGAAGATGGGGTATACACACACACACACACACACACACACACACACAATGGAATATTACTCAGCCATCAAAAATGAAATCTTTTTTTAAAGGTTTTTTTTTTAAAAGATGTATTTATTTATGATAGACAGAGAGAGAGAGAGAGGTAGAGACACAGGAGGAGGGAGAAACAGGCTCCATGCCGGGAGCCTGATGTGGGATTCGATCCCGGGACTCCAGGATCGTGCCCTGGGCCAAAGGCAGGCGCCAAACCGCTGAGCCACCCAGGGATCCCCAAAAATGAAATCTTACCATTTTCAACAACATGGATGGAACTGGAAGGGATTATGCTAAGCTAAATAAGTCAATCAGAGAAAGCCAATTATATAATTTCACTCATGTGGGATTTAAGAAATAAAAGAGGATCATAGGGGAAGGGAGGGAAAAATAAAATAAGTTGAAATCAGACAGGGAGACAAACAATAAGAGATCCTTAATCATAGCAAACAAAGGATTGGGGGAGGGGAGGGGGATGTAGGAGGATGGGGTAACTGGGTGATGGGCATTAAGGAGGGCACATGATTTAATGAGCACTGGGTGTTCTATGCAACTGATGAATCACTGAACTACCTCTGAAACTAATAATACACTATATGTTAATTAAAAATTTTTAAAACTATATATGCCCTTTAAATATTAAAATTCTCTCTTTAGATATCTACTGAAGACTTGGAGGCAAGAGTAAAGAAATGGTCTCCAAGCTCACCCTTTCCCAGTTATGTGTCCCTTTCCCTCCCTCGCATGAACCTGCCCACCAGCACTTATCATCTGTAGCCTCATTTTGTTTATTCTTTTCAGGATAAATTGACCACGCAATGAAGAGAAGCCCTGGGTCATCCAAAAAAGGGGAAAAAAAAAAAAAAGGCGTGCTGTGGAAAACTCTTCTGAATGATAATCTCCAGTGATACTGGGAAACAGACACTTTGATGGAAGCATACAATGTTCCTGGGGACAACTGAGCGATGAATTAAAAGACTTAAAAATGTTCATATCCTTTGAACCATCAATTCCACAGCTAAGAATTTATCCTCAAGACATAATTATGGATGAACACAAAGATTTATCCACAAGGATGTTCACTTCACCATTTTTAGAACAAATAATTGGAAATAAACTGTACAAGAGATTGGTTAATAAGCATCTTTACAATTGCATATACACATGCAACTTTAAAATGCTATATGGAATATTTACTGTTGAATTAAACAAATGTTATAAAACAAACGATCCCAATTGTGTGTGTGTGTGTGTGTGTGTGTGTGTGTGTGTGTGTGTATGCGCGCGCACATGTGTGTGAGTTTGGGAGCAGGGTGGTTAAGTACCTATGGTGGAGCTGCACTATGTTTTCTTCACTGATTGACTCAGAACCTAAACCCTGGAGCAAGATGTGATGCCACTATAGCATATCTCCTCACAAGTAAATCTATTAACCCATAACTTACAAAAGCTTAATATTAAAACAGAATGAAATAAACCTTACAGGCAGGCAGGAACACAATTCAGTTCTCCACTACCATCTACTCACCATTAAGGATTTGTTAATAAACTTATAAAGGTAGATGGGTTTTTTTTCTCCCAGATTTTTCATTTCATATAGATTTTTCAGTTGTCCTTGAGTCTAGTTCAGTGGTTTCCAAACTTTAGAGAGCATAAGAATTACTGTCCAGGGTGGTTTAGAGTAATTCTGACTTTATGAGATTTTTTTCCCCTTACATTCTGAATTTAGAACCTAATCACTGTATGAAAGCAAAAACGATGACTGGGAGGATATTTACCAAAATATTAACAACATTAGAATTACAGTTGATTTTTATTTCCTTCCTTAGGATTTTCTGTTTTCCAAGTTGTCTGACAAGAAACATATTTTTAATCAGAAAATAAAATGTTGCCTAAAAATAAGTGAGTTAAAAACTCTCCAAAAGATAACAAGAACCTAGGCTTTGACTTTAAGAGGGTGACTGACCATGCCCTTTACATCTCTCCCCTCTGCAAACGCTGATTCTGCCCCAGTCGGTGCCCCAACACGCAAGGACAGACAGTACATCGTCGCTAGGATACCATGCAAGAAAACCTGGCAAGAAGATTATTTTTACATTTACCTCCTAGGCTGCGCTTATAATGATGCTTAGAAGCTTAGACTAAAGGGCCTGAAGTGAAGCAGCCATGACCGCTAATGGAGCTGTCCCCTACCCAGGAAATTCTATCAAATAAATACGCTGAGAACATGTAAAGCACATACCCTTGGTCCTCAGGACTAAAAACTGTTGAGTCTGCTTTTCAAAGACCTGGTGGTGCCACCAAGAACACCGGTAAGGACCAGTAGAAAAAGAACAGGCCATAAGTCAGACTGCTTTCAGCCAGTAACTAGTTGGGTGATCTGTGCCTCAGATTCACCTCTACGAAATAGCCTAATAAAAAGACAAAGTGAACAGCACTGTCCGTGTAGGGTGTTATTACTTAATGAAATATATTCTGGGACTTTTCAGGGAAGGAGGGAGCTGGCTAGTTGTGGGTCCTGTGACACAAGGCTGGTAAACTGCAACCTGCCTCACCTTTCAAGCTTTCCAAGAAGCTGGGACGCACGCACACATATCAGATGTGGGAGTGGAGGTGGGAAAGACAAAGATGCTGACTTCTCCAGGGGCACAGGGAGCTCTGAAGTCAAAGACAGAAGGCAGCTGAGATAAAAACTCCAAGGTGGGGACCAGGTTTCTCCAAACACAATGGGCAAAAGCCACCAGGGCAGGATCTAAAGATGAGGGATGCCTATGTTATTTAGCCACTTCAACGAGCAATAATCATTTAATTGCCTACCAGGCAGGGCCACTACCCGTGGTGTCTGCTCAAAATAAAATACATGACAAGTCAGAGAGAGCTGCCATTAGGTTACATTTTAAGTCCACCTAGAGTCTAATAAAGCTAATTTTACTGTTATGGTGTCTATTAAACACAAGGCCTTTGTTTAGAGAGTGAGTGGAGGGGAGGAAAGATCAGACATTAAGGACTAGGAATTTTGATCATTCCAGAATTGTTTCTGGGAAGGAATAAAAACAAACCCAATTTAAAAAAATAACTTTTAACAAAGACAGCTATATCAGAAGGTTCACCATTTTACAACTACTCAGTCCCCTCGAGAACAGACCAGCCCCCCACAGCCAGACAAAATCTCAGGGACAGAAATAAGGCACTCTATTTCACCTAAGCAGGACATTTTGAAAATCTTGACCAAGGAAGCCAACTTGGACTCCAGACTTGAGAGTCTAAGGACCATTAAGATGCAGGGGAAAGTTGGGGGCAGGCGGGGGGGGGGGGGCGGGGGGGGAGAACTACTTGCTCCTTGGTCAGAGACCTAAATA